CACCCCCCCCCGTACCCCGGGTTCCCGTTGCCATCCCTGTGGCGTTGGGGCTGGGGCAGGTATTTGGCATCCCCGGCCGCCCGGCACTCACTCTCCACGTCGACAGGGCACTCCTCGGCCGTGCCCATGTGGCTCTCCTCCTCCGTCATGATGATGTTCTCAATGTCCTTCATGGAGAGGTGCTCGCAGAAGGTGTCGTACAGCAGCCGCTTCAGCTCGTCCACTGTCAGCTTCTGCATGTCACACTGCGGGGAGCGGGTGGGGGGCTCAGGCTCACCCCATGCTGGGACCCCACCACGGGGGTTGCAGTGATGCTGTGGGGTCCCCCGGCACCCTTCGGTGCTGCATTTTGTCTGGATACCCCCATTTTTGGTCAGAAAAAGGCTGATGTCCTGCTGACCCCCTGGCAGAGCGGGGCTGGTGGCTCCCAAGAAGGGGACCCAGTGGGTGCCCAGCCTCACACCATCTGCCACCTCGTGCCAAGGCAGGGACAGAAAAGCCTCAGGCTGGTGTATCCTAACCCTGACCCTGACCCCAACCCTGACCCTAAGCCTACCCTTTCCACTAACCCTAACCTGGAGCCTGAACACGAGCTTGACCCTCACCCTAATCTCAGCCCTGACCCCAATCCTAACCCTGAGCCCAACTCTGACCGCAACCCTCATCCTAAACCTTAAAGCAACTCTAACCCTGGCCCTAACCCAGAGCCTGATCCTGATCCTAATCTTCACCCTCACCCTAACCCTAACCCCAGCCCCAGCCCTGACCCTAACCTTAACCTCAACCCTAACCCCAACCCCAACCTTGACCCTAACCCTGACCCCGAGCCATCCCCCGGGGCTCTCAGTGTGGGGCCTAGGGGTGCTGGACCCCGCCGGGGGGAAGGCGAGGGGGCTCCCTACCTTCCAGAAGACGGTGTCGAAGTCTGTGCCATGGAACTTCTCCGGGATGCCCGAGGTGGACAGCTTGGGCCCCAGTAATGTCACGAACTCCTCGAAGTCCACCTGCCCGTCACCTGTGGGACACGGGGGCGGCCACAACCCCCTGCACAGTCATCGGGCG